GAACGGGGCGGGAAGGGGAACGGGGCGGGTGGCCCCGCCTTTCGGGGATGTGGGCGGTACCTCCACTCTGACGTCACAGGGCGTGGGGCACAACCCCCCGGGTGCGCTGCCTCGGGGCTGCTGGGCTCCTGCTGCTTGGCCTTGCTGCAGCTTCCCAGGGGAAGGAAGGGGAAAAGCGACTAAAGTACAGTGGTTTCTCTTCTTCCAGAGAAAAATGCAGATCTTTGTGAAGACCCTGACAGGCAAGACCATCACCTTGGAGGTTGAGCCCAGTGACACCATTGAAAATGTTAAGGCCAAGATCCAGGACAAGGAAGGCATTCCCCCCGATCAGCAGAGGCTGATCTTTGCTGGCAAGCAACTGGAAGATGGGCGCACCCTGTCCGACTACAACATCCAGAAGGAATCCACCCTGCATCTTGTGCTGCGCCTGAGGGGTGGCATGCAGATCTTCGTGAAGACCCTGACAGGCAAGACCATCACCCTGGAGGTTGAGCCCAGTGACACCATTGAGAACGTCAAGGCCAAGATCCAGGACAAGGAAGGCATTCCCCCCGATCAGCAGAGGCTGATCTTTGCTGGCAAGCAGCTGGAAGATGGGCGCACCCTGTCCGACTACAACATCCAGAAGGAATCCACTCTGCACTTGGTGCTGCGTCTCAGAGGTGGCATGCAGATCTTCGTGAAGACCCTGACAGGCAAGACCATCACCCTGGAGGTTGAGCCCAGTGACACCATTGAGAACGTCAAGGCCAAGATCCAGGACAAGGAAGGCATTCCCCCCGATCAGCAGAGGCTGATCTTTGCTGGCAAGCAACTGGAAGATGGGCGCACCCTGTCCGACTACAACATCCAGAAGGAATCCACTCTGCACTTGGTGCTGCGCCTGAGGGGTGGTAACTGAACTGGCTGGTTGTTGCTTGCTTCAAGTAAAAGTTTCTCTGCACTTGTTCATTCCAATAAAGCTGTTGCATCCACAAAAGTTCATGTCTCAAGTTATGTGAACAACTATTTATGCCATTAACCAAATCTAGCTATCTAATACTATAATTACATAGCTTCCACGTACAAAGGTATGGCAAAACTGCCTTACGCAGGCTTATGTGTGCCTGGCAAGCGTAACTAATCCTTCAGCTGTGGTTTTCCTGAGATTGTGTAAGTGCTCACATAACCAGCTGAAGTTCAATGCCAATCTGCAGATGTTACGCAGCTGTTAAGGTTGTGTAAGGGTGCATATGTAATGCAAAACTGCCGTTGTTTTTGAGCTGAGAGGCTTTGGTAATGCCCAGTAATTGCCAGGTCCTAACTCCGGTGTTTTTGCATTAACGGAGTAACAGCAAAAGCGTAATCCTACAGTTCGATCAAAGGCTGGCAACCTGCTTGATGGTCGGATGGCTGCGTGGGGGGCAGTGGTAGAACGTCATTGCTGGTCCTGCGGCCTGTGGACTGGAGCTTGAAAGGTTTTCTGGCTAGGGTGACTCATCAACCAGTTACAGGGCAGGCTTCATTTTTTGAAAGGCTTAAGCATATTAAGCAAACTTCGTAATTTCAGATGTACTAGCTTGCTTAAAATCTCCAGGGATGTGCATTCATTCTAGCTCTGCACTAGGTGGAAATACTACAGTATTAATGAGCTAAAACAAATGGGGAGCAGTTCCCATACGCTGTAAAAACACCGGCTAAAGGGAAGTCTCCACTGAAGTATTCTGTGGTGGAGGTTGCTGAATGGCTTGTGAGTAGTTAACCACGCTGCGCTGGGGATCGGGAAGTGCGGAGGCTGAAGAGTAAAAAACCAGAAATGGGCCCGAGGAATGGTATGTGACTTGCCTTTGGAAGGGATGTGGTGGGAGTTGGAGCAGAGGTTTCAGCTGATGACTGATCTCAGTGGGATGTGAAGTGATATTACACCATCCAGAGCAGAAGGGTGGGATAGCAGGATTTGACTCACCGATTGTAATTATTCTTGATTGGTGAAAGATGCTTTTAGTGCCTTGCGGCCTGTAAGGAAAAAGTTTGGATAATCAAGATTGTGCTGAGTCGGAGAAAGCTTTTGAACGCCACTGAGCTGAAACCCACACCAGGTACGAGTTGGCGTCGTGCCATCGCTGAGCTCCTGGCGTGTCCCCGCAGGGGCTGTCCGGGGGCTTCACTGGACAGTCGCTGCTGGTGGGTGGGGTGGGGGCTTCATGGGTGGTGCCGGTGCAGCGTCCGCATGGCGGGCAGAGGACACTTGCTCAGTTCATGTCCTCCGCAGCTTATGTAACTGAACCCTCAACAAATACAAACTCTACAGCTTGAGATGGTATATTTTTCCTGGCCCCTTGAGTCATCTGAATTTATGCAGCAATTAAAAATTCAGCAGCCCTTCAGCAGTTTTGGGTATGATGTAACGGAGCTCATTAAACGTGGGTGTCTGATCCAGTTCAGGGGTGGGTTGTTTCTGCAATGAAGGGAGCTGCTCTTATGTAAAAAGGAGAAAGTTGCATCCTGGTTGTGTTTTCATAGCTCCTTTCTCTCATGCCTGGGAAGCTTTTCCTTGGAAATCTGATGACCCAAAAAAAAAAAAAGCTAGAAAAGGTAACTGCAAGCAGTTCTGATTTGAAGGTGGCTTGATCGCTGAGGGGGAAGAGCTGCAGGAGGACATGGGGACACTCAGTGTCAAAAGCCTACACGAATGATGGCAGTGCTGTGTTTTAAGAAATACTTTTATTTCAAATGCCTCAATGAAAAAAAACATACAATGCCATACTTAAAAACTACAGTGCCGTGCAAATACATAGTGGTGTGGAGCGTGACCCAAGTGGCTGTGCTGCAACCAGGCAAAGCGGAGAGCTTGTTGGAGGAGAAACCTGTGCCGTGGTCTTGTAAGCTGAGTCAAAGCGCTGATCTCTGCAGGTGGCTTTGCTGGATTTGAAGAAGGGTGTCCTGGTTTTGGCTGGGATAGAGTTAATTTCCTTCCTAGTAGCTGGTATAGTGCTGTGTTTTGGATTTAGTATGAGAATAATATTGATAACACACTGATGTTTTAGTTGTTGTTCAGTAGTGCTTACATAGTCAAGGACTTTACGGCTTTCCATGCTCTGCCAGGGGCACAAGAAGACGGGGGGG